GACCAAATGACATACAAGAACAAAAAAACACAGTAAGGCAGTGTAACTAGAATAAAGACAACAGAGGTACAACTGGGTTTTGTGTTAACAGCCAGAACAACTCCTCATGAACGAATGGCTGTGGTTTTTAAATAGGCGGGGTCAGAGGTTGATTGGTGGTCACGGCAAATGACATCACCGCTGATCAGCTTGAGCTAATCAAGACGGACAGGAACGTTATCCAATGAGGCAGTGCTGCAGAGAGGGAGAGAAAGAGAGGGAGGGCGAGAGAAAGGGGAGAGAACAAAACACAAAAACACGCAAACATACCCCAGAACTTAACACCCCACCCCATAAGAACAAACACTTGTTTGTTTTAAAGAAACACACACAGCTGAACCAATTACGGCCACTAAGCTCTGGATAGCGCATCTGCCACAACATTCTCTGCACCTGACTTATGCTTAATTTCTACGGTGTAATTTTGAGTAGCTAGAGACCAGCACATTAAGCGCTGATTCTAATTATACATGCGGGATGGATTATGATCAGTGAACACCGTGATAGGCAGAGGTGAGGAACCAACAAACTTCAAACTGTTGTAACACAAGTAACAATGCTAATGCCTCTTTTTCTATTGTTGAGTAATTGACCTGATGTTCATTGAACTTGCGGGAGAAATAGCAGATAGGATGATCAATGCCCCGCTCATCCTCGTGGAGGAGAACCGCGCCTGCACCAACAGCACTGGCATCAACTTCCAGCTTAAAAGGTAATGCAAAATTAGGTGCAGCAAGGACAGGTGCATTACATAACAAACACTTAACAGTTTCAAAGGTGTATTGACATTCTTTTGACCAGGTGAAAGATTTTGTTGGACTAAGCAGACTGGTGAGGGGATGAACAACGGTGGAGAAATTTTTGCAGAAACTGCGGTAATACCCAGCCATGCCCAGGAACCTGCGCAGCTCACGCCGCGTGGTTGGAGCGGGGAACTGGGCAATGGCTGTAACTTTCACCTCGATAGGGCGCACTTGACCATGCCCAACCTCCTTACCGAGGTATGTAACAGTAGCTTGTCCAAACTCACACTTGGCTAGATTAAGGGTTAGGGAGGCTTCTGCAAGGCGTTCAAAAACAAGATGGACATATACTCTGACCACTCTGACGAGTAAATCACCAAATCGTCCAGGTACGCATTACAATTAGGAACTCCTGCCAACACCAAATTAACAAGCCTCTGAAAAGTTGCAGGTGCATTCCACAGTCCAAAAGCCATAATATTATATTGTAGGAAGCTATCAGGAGTTACAAATGCGGAGATATCAGATGCAGGTGGGGTAAGAGGAACGTGCCAGTATCATTTTAACAAATCTAGTTTGCTCACGAAGCGAGCAGAACCTAAATTATCTATACAGTCCTCCATGCGAGGCAACGGATAACAGTCAGGTACTGTTACAGCATTTACTTTACGGTAATCAGTACAGAACCTAAATGTTCCATCAGGTTTGGGTACTAACAAGCATGGTGAACTCCAAGGACTGCAACTAGGCTCAGCAAGACCATTTTCCAGTAAGTAATCCACTTCTTTTTTCATCACAGACCTTTTTGTCATATTAATTTGGTAAGGATGTTGTTTAATAGGAGTTGCATTACCAACATTAATATCATGCTGTAAGACTGTAGTTTGTGTAGGGATGTCAGCAAAGAGTGGTGGAAAGTCACGAATTAACTGTACAATTTCATTCTTTTGCATTTCTGTTAAATGACTGAGATGTGACGGCAAATCTCTCAGTATTTCAGAGTTATGCAAACGGGCACGCTGCTGAGGAGCATTGCGCAGCACAATACCATCCTCATCTGCCCCATCCACAACCGCGGAGGGTTCTGCAGTACAGACCACTGCCATCAAAGAAACAACAGGCTCTTTCACCTTTTCTGTAGCCGAGACCTACGCCTTTCTATCATGATAAGCTTTTAACATGTTAATATGGCATACACGAGACTGGCACTTCCTGTCAGGAGTACGTATAGCATAATTGGTCTCACTGATTTTCTTTATCACTTCATAGGGCCCAGCAAAACGTGCCGACAGAGCTGAACCAGGGACAGGTAATAAAACCAGAACTTTGTCACCAGGTTTAAATGAGCGAGAAACTGCTTTCTCGTCAAAAAGGTGCTTCATGCCTTTCTGTGCAGCAGCGAGAGACTCTTTAGCGAGAGAACAGGCGGTATGTAGTCGTTCTCGGAACTTGCACACATAATCCAAGATGTTAGTTTTACGATCTGTCTCGTTTGTCATCATGTTCTGTTTTAGAACCTTTAAAGGCCCTCTAACCGTGTGACCAAATACGAGCTCCATAGGACTAAAACCGAGACTTTCCTGTACCGTCTCTCAGGCAGCAAATAAAACTAAGGGAAGTCCCTCGTCCCAATCTTTATTTGTGTCACAACAATATTTCCGGAGCATAGACTTAAGTGTCTGGTGAAACCTTTCCAACGCGCCCTGGCTTTCGGGGTGATACGCTCTGGCAACTTGGTGAGTAATATCAAGAGTTTTCAAAACTTGTGTAAAGATTTTGGATAGGAATTTGTACCCTGATCAGTCTGTACAATGTTCCGTAAGCCAAAAGTAGAAAAGAATTTTATTAGTGCTCTAACGATGACAGGTGCAGTAATCTTACACAGGGGAACTGCCTCAGGAAATCGGGTGGCAACACACATCATTCTGAGAAGAAATTGGTTTCCCGACTTTGTTTTAGGCAGTGGGCCCACACAGTCCACGATAATGTGCTCAAAGAGCTCACCAATAACGGGAATGGGAGAGAGGGGAGCAGGTGGAATCACCTGATTTGGCTGTCCCACATACTGACAGGTATGACAGGAACGACAAAAGTGAGCTACATCTTTCTTTAACCCAGGCCAAAAGAAATGTCTAGGTATTTTATTGTATGTTTTAGTGATGCCTAAATGACCAGACAACTCGTGATCGTGAGCTAACCTTAAGACATGTTGGCGGTAAGGAGTAGGAGCAACAATCTGACACACACCATCCCACTCTTTGTCCGTAGCAGTATTAGGGAACCATTTACGCATCAGTAAACTGTTATCAACAACATAAGCAACATTCGTCTCTTTAAATTTATCAGCAGTAGCAAAGCACTTAGTAAGAGTTTGATCCTCTTTCTGTGAAGTGATAATTTGTTCTCGTGTCACTGGCCAGTTCAGTGTTTCCACAACTGAATCCGCACACACTGACTTTTTACTACCCTGCCTTTCAGGGTAAACAGTTTCTGGAGGTGCATCACGCGTCAGAACTGGGGCAATAAATGAATCAGCCAAGGTGACTACATCCCCCGTTTTGCGTGACTGCTACACTGGAGCCACAGAATGTCTCATCGGACATAGGCGACACATTAGCAACAATAAACGACTGTGGAGCACCTGTATCTCGAAGCAGTTGTATTTCTTTCTGATCCTTAGGGTTGCCAGTTAACGAAATTAACCCCTTCAGCAAAAATGGGCTATAACTAGGATCAGGCATATCACATACAGGTAATGTTCTAACAGGATCAACAAGAGTACTAACAAACCCAACACTTTTAGGCTGTTGTTGCTGTTTGCGTTTTAGCGCAACACAGTCAGCAATTATATGTCCCTGCTTATGACAGTAAAAGCATTCCCTTACCTCTCTAGGATGCAGGGAGGCAGATTTTGAGGTTGGAGACTGGGACTGGGCAGCTGAGTTCTTTTCAGTACGTGCTGAAGAGAAAACATTTTTGTGCGTTAACACAAACCCGTCCGCCAATACTGCGGCTTGAGAGAGAGACGTTTCCTTCTGTTTGTTCAGGTAAACCACCACACGTTCTAGAAAGCAATTTTTAAATTCCTCCAACAAGATTAATTCACATAGTGAACTGAAATCATTAACCTTGCTAGCAACACACCACTTATAAAAAAAGGATGCCTTTTTCTCTAGCAAACTCCACAAAAGTTTGATTAGACATTTTTCTATGATTTCTAAATC